GAGAGAGAGAGAGAGAGAGAGAGAGAGCGAGTAAAGGATGACGTGTAAAGGAGGAAGAGGGAGGAAAGAACGAGCGAGTGTCTGATTCGTTGAGCCAACGAAATCGTTCGTACGGTTGTGTTTTGTTGATTATTGTCCGTTCAAAAGCGCGTATCCTTCCGCGATCGATCGCGTCTGGTGATCGTTTTACTCGATCGTTGGTTTAACCGGAGAACAGGGAAAGAAAGATCTGGAATCGCTGGATCGTACGCGGACACTGTCTAAACGAACGCGATTTTATTGGCCCAACGAATCCCGCGTTGTTTCCCGGTTCGACACGCTGCTGCGAACCACGAGAAACTGCGACAGGATACGCGATGGCCGTTTTGTAAATAGGGAGAAAGAAAGCGCGAAGAAACGATCGGCTGAAACACGGACGGAATCGAAGAGCGCGAGATGTTACGACCGGTCAGGGGAAATCGGTGAAAATGAGAAAAGAATGGGGGCCTTGGAAGCCATCGACGAATTTCGTCGATTTCGAATTCCGCTCGCTACTCGCCGCTCGTAAGCGTAATCGAACTCTTCGATTTCCGGCTGATTTTCACAGACACGCGAGAAATTTTGCGCGTTGGCCGCGACGCGTGTATGGAAAAGTCAACGGAGAGCGTGCAAGAGAGTGCGTTTACGCGTGCGCGCGCGTGTGAGAGAGTATGCACGAGGGTGCGTGTGCGTGTGCGTGTCGGTGTGCAAGGAGACGAGAGAAAACGGACGGCAGAGTGCGCGAGAGAAAGGGAACGAAAGGTGGAAAGGCCGAGGATGAAAAGGAGCGTAAAGATATTTAGACGTACGCGAATCACATGTAACACGCGTAGATCGGATAGAAACGAAATGAAACGAAATGAAACGAAACGCGAAAACGAACACGAATGCGCGCAAACTGTAAACATCTCCTCCTTTTCCCTGTATATTATTATAATTAAATATTAATTATTATTAACGTAAAATAAAGATCTGGCGAATGGTGGTGACGTTTTGTTAGAATGGCAGAAACTAAATTACTACTGAATTTTAATTAATAAACGACATGAAAGTAATACAACAACGTATTCACCGTTTTTTGCTTCATTTGCCAAGCATCACACCCGAAGAATAACGAACGACGACTAGGACCGGATAGATCGATCGATCGATTCGCGAGTTGGAGAGAAACGGTGGTTTCCGTATCGTGGGGACGCGAGTATTACTCGGTCAACGACGTCCATCTCGGCGAATTGGCAAAGTCGAGCGACTAGCGTGCCTCGGCCGCGCATACCTTCGAAATGGCTCCTATACGATTTCGAACCGCGACTAAGCGGCTCGTGAGCATCCTTCTCGTTTCAATTATTAGCCGGGATAATGGAACGAGCGCGCGCAACCGTTAATCATCGCGGTAGGTGATGCGACAAGTGGATAATTAGCCAAGAAAAAGGTTCGATCGACGTAACGTAACAGAGACTCGATTCGCTCCGTACGCCGGTTTCGTTCCTTCCACTCTGACGTAATACACCGAAGAAGAAAAAGGCGAAAAAATTGATTTCCAGCACGCGATCGTCGAATCCACCGATCGACGCGAGTCGAATACGAAAGTCGTCGCTGCTCGTACTCGTGTACGCGATGAAACCACGGTTACCGAGACAGCGATACGATATTTCCACGTTTCGCTGACATGCCGCGGGTCGATCCTCGGAGAAATACCCGGATCTCGTTTGGGAAGCTCCTTCTCCTCGAGCACCGCGCATCCGATTAATTCCACCTCCGTATGCACCGGTAAGACTGGGATCGCCGCGCGACGAAACGAGATTCCATAATTGCACGGTTCGCTTTTAACGACAGAGTTACCGCGCTTCCAATCGCATAGCCGCGATTCCAATCGGCCGCGAAATAATTGGAGGTAGATTCTGGCCTGGTCCAATTTTTGCTCGCGGAAGCGAATCGTTCGATTGGAATCGTGCACGGAGGATCTCTCCGCGTTGCGCAACGCCTTTCGGCCAAGCGATAGAACGCGACGCCGATCCGCTTTGCACAGCTGGAATCTCGATATCGGTCTGCGTTCGAAATTTTATCCAACCTCGTGGGTCGTCGATAAGGAGAGATATCGAGCAGAGATCCGGATCGCGACGTGCGCGTCGATTTTAGGGTTAAACCCACTAGGATCCCGAGAGATCGTTATATTCCACGTCGGG